AAGTGAACCTCTGTAGGTGAGAGGGGACTGGAACCTATATCTCCCCAATCCTAATTTAGCAGTTCAGAGCACTACACCACAATGTCTCTGAACAGGTTCCATATTTTCTCAGGTTCTGTTGTTGCTGTTTGAAAACGTCTTAGCATCTTCCAAAGTGCTTTGCCATGATCAGCATTAGACATTTTCTCTATTTGGCATACTTGAACAAGTTTGGGTATTTCTAACAAGAGCAGATGCTTAACTTGTAAAGCAGGTATTTTAAACAGCTTCTTTGGGAAAATTAAATAATGGTGGAAGCGTTAAAACGAAAAGAGATGGTCAGAGTGCCCTTTCTGATCCTATTTGAAGCAGCTCCTGGGTGCCTTCCTGCTGTCAAATGATCAGCCTATATGACTCATTATCAATGGCCACGATTTAGTTATGGGCTGGAATACATTTGCAGGGAGGAGATTCTTGGTTCAAGCTGTAAATGATACACTGGACTTATCCTGAAGGTCCTTTTTCTAGCAGAAACTAGCTACAGTGGGTATCTCTCTCCCACTCACTCCAGAGGCAGAGCTAGAAAAGGGGCTGACATTGCTTTCAGGAAAGAGAGGTCTCCTTTCCCAGTTTTGGAATCACATTCGAAGGAATAAAAAGTTTGAAAAAGGTAGGAATAACATATTAGAAAATTAGAAGAGACATGTCAGGGGGTGAACTTTTGGTTGCAAATATCGCTGAGATCCCTGGTGGGTATTTCCTCTTTTCATTTTGTCCATATCTTGGTGAAGCCAGGGCATTCTATGGTGGAAATACTTCAGCTGCTCCTGGTGGTTGGGTCTGGAGAGCACCTAGTCCTAGCTAGAAACGATTTTCTGCAACCCCTTCTGCAAAACCAAGCTTTGGCCAGGACCCCAAAGACCCTGTACAACCCTACAGATGTCTCCCAGGAAGGTATTTCTGGTGATGGTGTATCTAGTGAAGTGGGTCAAGTTTATTCTGCATTTTGTAGGCTAGTTTGAGGCAAGCCTTCTTGATCCCTCTTGATATGACAGGTGATGAGGCCTTGTGGCTGTGGAAGGAAGGAAATGAGATGATGGTTGGCTACTTGGAAATCCTCTGTCACTCGTCTTGATAACTCCTCTCACATCCAGTTTATACTGATCCCCTCTCTAACTAGGTCTTGGGCAGCAAAAGGGCCACTTTCTGGCCCCAGTAAAAAACAAATTCATCTTAATAACAAAGACTGACTTTAGGTAGTGATGGTGCCTGGCTGGCTGATGTGGAATTCTTTCTTGTAAGAGAATTCCCCTTTTCTGACACTTGTCTGGCAGAAGATATGGTTGTTAGGAATGCCATTTTTCACATCAGATGCTCTAAAGCTGACTTGCACTTCAAGAGAGTTCAAACAAGACTTGGGTTAGGGCTTGAAGCTCCCATGATGGATAGTGGGTGGTCTTAGCAGGGAGCCACCTCTTTTTGGGAGGGAAGGCCAAGAATGGCTGGTAAGACTGAGGAGAGGGCTGACAGTTGTAGGAGATACAGTTGGGTAGCCCCAAAATTGTATTTTTGGCTCTTTTGGCCCCTTTGGGACGGGTGTTCACTAGCTTGGGCCTGAATCCAAACAAGTGTGGGATGACCTGGCTTCCTGTGAATTTACCTGGAGGTCTCTGTGGAATGGAAGGCTGGGAGTTGGGGAGGGAGTCCTGGTGGAGCCAGCTGAGATTGGAGGCCGCTATTCCCTCAGTAAAGGGTAGGGGGATAGGGCACCTGGCACAGCTGGCTTCCTTTACTTCTGGTGCTGACACCCACTAGATCTCCAGAGGAGCAGCAATAGCTCTCTGGCGGCTGTGAGGTTTATGAGGTCTATGGCTGGCATTCAGCAGCTACAGCATTAGTTAGCTTCTCCTAAGGAGAATAGAGTGGGGAGACAAAAAGGTAAGCTGGTGCATTGCTGGAGACTGGCCCGCAAAGACTTCCAACTCATTCACAGCAGTGCATTGCTGCTGTCAGCTTGCTGGTCAGGCCAGAAAATCCACTGAGTTTGTCTAAGACAAAAAGGAGTAGAAAGCAAGAAAAAAAGGGGGGGGGGAAGTTGGGGATCTGCCACAATTAAGAGAGTCCTTGGCAGAGTGGATGGGCATGCTTGTTCTCTGGAACAAGGCAGGGCCAGAACAGGGAAAGGGGTATCTTCTGCCACAGGAAGCAATGCAAGAACTTTTCTGAGCACTGCTTCCAGAGCACCGGGAAGAGAGAGAGGCAGTGTAGAATGCCCTGCCTCTGCTGTAGGAAAACTGGCAGAATCAACATTTTGAATTCTCAGCTTATTCAAAATGAATGGTGCACAAAACAAGCTTACGAGTGAAGGCCGTGAACCCCTCCTTCCACTTGAGCAGATGTTGTCCTCTTTTCAAATTTCAGCTCTCCAGAATACATCATGGCCCTAGTGATCAAAGGAAGGAACAATGAAATTCCCAATCTGCCACAAAAATCTCGCATTTGGAACAACACAAGAACTATAACCATGCAGTTGTCTGACCAACCCAAATCAATCTGTAACAGGAACTGAAGTCTTGCTCCACAGATTTCAAAACACCACTGTTCCCTCATATTCATATGGCCATTGCCAACAACAGTTCCAAAATAATCCTGAGGTAGAGATCAGGGTAATGACGGAGAAACTGTTAATGCTCTCACCTCAGCTGCGTTAGACTCTTTGCACCAATATCTTGGCAGGAGTGCTGGATGCCAGCAATCAGGTATGGCACGAACTTGTGGATTGAGCCCTTGTCCTGCACAGCCCCAGAGACCCCCTGGGCCACTTTAATTTTATCTGTCTCACTGAGAAGAACAAACAACAGAAAAGACCTATGAGAACTGCAGAACTGTGATTGTTCAATCCACTAATTATCTTGAAAGAGATGAGGAAATAAACATTTTAAAGGCGAAAACAAAGTAGTAAAAAGAACTGTACATCACAAATCCCCCTCCTCTCCCCCACCTAAATTATTAAATACCTGTCCAAAGGTATTAATGTATTCAGAAATGCATTCTGACAACCTCCTAGAGGAAGCCAATCCTATAAAGGTGAAACAGAGTCCTTTAACTTCAGTTTTACGTATACCTTCCCTTTTCTGTGTGGATTCGTTTGCTGGCACAGTGCTCTCAAAGTATCCCTCCTACCTGAAATATCTGTTCTGGCTGCCCAGGTTCTTGTCCATCGCATCAAGCGATCCCATGCCACGGTATTTCTTCAGCCTGATCCCATCAGAGAAAAAGTACTCCCCGGGGGCTTCTGAGGTGGCAGCTAGAAGGGACCCCATCATCACTGGAGCCAGTGAAAACAAATACAAGCAACAGTACATGAGGCGCGGTGGAAAGAAGTGGAAAGGAAACAGGACAGGAATTTGGGGAAGTAGGTTAACTCTGATATCAGCTGGCTGCATCCATGTGCTGTATATACACGTAAAACTAGGTAGACGTACGTAGCTTATCAACACCCATCTATGCCTGCATATTATGAAAACCTATCCATTTTTCCAAAGGCACATATATGGATATGATGTAAGTATTTCTCTGCAGCTATCATAACATACAGTGCTATCTATAATTATGCTTCCTGACAAGTTCCCCAATATAGGCATGGTTCCCAGACATGCACTGAAGCCACAAACATGGTAATACAGTACAGTACAGTACAAGATATCATTATGGCCCTGTACCCGGGAACAACTCCATTCCCTTCTAAAAACTGTGACTGGAAATTATCATGATCCCATGAGCTGAAAGTTAGTAATAGTAAATAAGTTGTAACTCTAATTTCACCTGTAGAAGCTCCAAGTGCAAGGGCCTTAGCAATGTGTCCAACAGTCTGGATGCCTCCATCGGCAATCACCGGCACACCAAATCTTCGAGCATACTCAGACACTTTGTAGACTGCTGTGGCTTGAGGCCTACCACACGCTAAGACTAAACAGGATGGGACAGATGAAGATAAAAGAAGCAAAAGAGGTCAATCTTTATTCTACAGCAGGCTTCTGAGAGATGAGAACTCCTCTTTTAACATGTAAGGATTCTCAAAGTGCGTGGCATTTTTAGCATGAGCCAAGAAAAGCAACTCAATCCTTCAGCTATTTCTTCCCAGGGTGCATCGAGGGAGTCATACGTCTTTCCAATTCTGGCAAACCTTAGAGGGTAATATCCCAGAGGCAGCTATAAATCCATGCATGTATGATGATTAGTAGTTGGTTCCAGTCAACCTAGTTGCAGATAGCACTCTCCAGCCATAGTATTAGTCACTGTCTGACTGTAATAAAAACTTGGTTTTTACTTGATGATCAGAATCCAGCATCTTGCATTGAAGTTTTTATCAAGCTAGCTACCTGGCACACAGGGTGCCTGAAACCAAAGCAAAATGTCATCTGCTTAAAGCTCACAATGAGTCAGGAAGAGAAAATCATCAAAAGATCTCCAAAATATATCTGCAGGGGCTCTTTTACACTTTGCATCAATTGTGTGCCTCACTATGCACAGATTGTAACTATATGTTGTATCGTGAAGGCCATGCACAAAGATTGACATAAATGCCCCATCCCTCCCACCAAACAGGACATTCTCCCCAGCTGACTTTTAACTCAAAATCTTTTTCACCACTATGGTTAGAATAGTGATTCAGATTCAGTCATGACCGTGCAAAATTAGAGTACAAACTTCCTGTTAAATGCAGAGTTTCAGTACTATCTGCACTGCCAAAGTCAACTCAGTGCTTCACCAAGGAACTGGACCTGATACAAAACACTTTTGCACTAACTCAGCTGTTACAGTCCTTTCAATTTCTAGGGCCAAGGACAGGCAGCCCAACCAATTTCAATTTTACAGCAACTGCATTGAACTGGAATTCAAATCAACCATGAAATGGGCTGCCAGCAAAATCAAAACAGCGTTAGTCCTAAAGAGATGGTCTCATTTTTGCAAAGGCAATATTGAAGGTTAAGGTTAAAAAAGTTAAAAAGGAGTTTTTTATGTTAAAAACTTTTAAAACCTATCAAGCGATACACAAACACACAAGCTGCTCACACTTCAAAAATAGTTTGAAAGAATTGCTTTAGACCTTGCATGAGTTCAGCACACTTCTGCCATTCGTTAAAGGAGCCCACTTTCTTCAGGCTTCCATAAGAGCATGAAAAAAGATGCAGTCGTTTGAATGAATAGTAGAAAGATGTGGTCATGCAAGGCTCAAAGCATTTTTTCCAAATAATTTTTAAAGCATGCACAGCCTTATAAAATTTGCAGTTATCTCTAAAATAGAAAAGCAATCATTGAGCAGCTGAGTTTTGCAAGTTGATATCTATACAACGGTACACTGAGACCAACCCTTTAAAAATTAGTATATGGTACCATGGAGTGAGAGAAGTTCCCAGCTTCATGATTCACACAGGTGGTGTTGGGTTCAAAGCAGGGTTTGAAATTTGCCATAGTAATTTGGTATGAAACTGTTTTAACCATTTAAATTTCCAAAAATAAGAGATACAAAATAGGTAGATATAGTCTTTTATTGAACAAACTCATAATTGTCTAAAAGGCTACAACAATCTCCCTTAAGGGAGAGGTCTGGCAGTATGTAAAAGGAACTTTGCTTAATTGGGAAAACAATGGTTTAAGCACAAGATTGTTGTGGTCTTGGGCCTCCACAAAACAACTCGTATTCTTGCTGGACATATAGCCACTCTAATAACCGGTGTGCAGATGTTTTATCATATAACATTCCAATCTTGTAATAGGGTCACTCCAACCATTCTGGAAGTGGACCACTCATAATGGCCTGTTTTAGTTTTGACCATCTCCAAAATACTGGTAACAACCATGCCACGTCTGTGACAGTTTATTTAGGATCAGAATTCTTAACAATATCTAAGGATGCACGCACTTTCTGACCCCAAGCAGGCCACTGTTTCAACTCACCCCCTTGGTTGTCTATAGTGATTGGCAGTGATTTGCCAGGAATTTAGGAAAAAAGATATTTTCCAGCCCAACTTCTCATAACATTTAGGCCTATGCACAGATCATGCTGAACTATAAAATAATTAAGTGGCAAACATGTTATGCATGTGTCATTCACATGGCCTCCGGCTTCTCCTACACAAGCTTTTGCACATCCCAGTTCATGGTCTGGCAATGATTAAGTATGTGATCTGAACCCAAGATGATGTTACATTACATAATGTAAAACAAAACTATTTCAAACCAGAAGCATATACTATGGTTTGTGGCAGTCAAAAGTACCACACTTCCTCTACTAAGATGGCACATTTAACCATTGTCAAAGCATGGACAGAAACCATGTCTCTCCACCCATTCACAGGATGAGCCAGTGGCCACATGCAGAACACATTCACCCAGTTTAATTGTTCAACTGTTTTGTAAATAAGCGTAATGTGTGAATGTAATTCAATGGGAGATAGCTGAAACATACTTTGAATTTGTGATATATTTAGATATTACTAAATAGAGCTTTGCAGTACTTCACAGACGCTTCAGGGAACATGGGAGGGAATGTAGCAACTCCTTAAACTAAACATGTCTTAATTGGCTTAATATATATCTGACATTAAACTCAAACTAGAAAAATATAGTACCAAGTAAAAAAAAAATCCATTGTACCTATTTTGTATCACAAGAATCTACAACATTAAAAATAAGTGGACAATGGGAAGACATGTAATTCAGTAATCTGAGAGTTCTTGGATTATTTCCACAATATTAGCATTCTTCAGGCTACATTTTCAAAATCAGAAGAAAATGTGATACCAGAATTTAAGAGACCACATAATTTCAGCTATCATCAGCCCAAAACAACATTAACATCTTTCTAGATGTTTTAAAAATCTACAAACAGGCTATCTGAAATGACTAGTTTTATTCTGTTTAGAAAAATTATATGAGTTGGTAGATTCAGTCAAGATTGTCAATCACAAGAAAAACTCTACAATTATCTGGGGAATATCTAGCAAACAGCTACCTCTCATAAATGGAAGGTTAGGGAAATTCTTAGGGAAACAATTATCACTTCTTCCTACAAGAAGTCTCTTGATCAATAAGAAACATCTATGATGTGATACAATTGCACAGCAAAATATGTTGAAGCCCATTTTCATACTGGAAGTTAAGATCTTAGAGGGAAAAAAATCTTGAATGGGAAACACAAAGTAATTATGGTATTTCAAATACTGAAAAGGTTGCCTACAAAGGATCACTTAACTGAATAATGATTCATTTTAAATTACAGAGGTAGATATTTAATTAAAACATTTAAATGACTGCCTAGAGCAATTCAGCAATACAAGATCTTTTTGGCAGGTATAAAAGACCACCTGTGTAGCTCTATAAAGAAAACACCAAGACGGGGTCACTCTTTCTCTTTGGAACTGGCCTACAGAACATAATAAGTATTCAATAACCCTAACAGTGTGTCCGCTAAACATAAATCTTAGTACGTGAATTTACACCAACTCATATTATAGCCAATTTAACATATGAAAGAGGTAGCACATTACCTATTTTGCATTTCATACAGATGAAAATTAAACCAATTTAACTTTTGACATCAAGAGATTCAGATTCATAGTTCAACTATGTGCAAGTAATTACAGAATTTGGGGCCATAAAGAAAAAGGAAGAGAGCAAAGGAACCTTCTTAAATGTCAGTTTTCGATTGCTAGCACCAAAAACGACAACATTAGAACCCTGCTTTCAGAAAGACGCAGAACAGAAAGCTTCTCAGCTTTAACAACCAGTATCCAAAGCCACAAGACCCCAACTGTGTCTATGACCAGATTATTCTCAAACAAGCAGAGGGGCAGGAGGAGATAATGGGCAGCCAATCAGAGCCTTCCTCCAAGCCACAAAATTAAGGGGCAGGGAAGGGGCAATGACTTACTATAGGCGCCAGTGACCGTGGAAGGACATTTGGGGCTGTGGGACTTTAGGTCTGGAGGGACCTTTGGAGCAGCTGAACAAGACAAAAACACACACAGTTTAGAGATAAAGAGGGAGGAACAAGCAACGCTCTCCTGAACAGTGACGCAATGCCAGTATGCAACTTGGCATTGTGCAGCCAGGCCACACTCCAATCACTGCAAGAAGGGGGGAGGGGGGTAAGCCTGAGGAAATGCCTCCAACTGTGAAACAGCCCTGACTTTAGGAACCCAGCAAGCCTCTCTTTGCTGTTCCAATGTTGATCTGACACACAATCCACGCTCACAGACCGACTCTTCTATCTCAGCTGCTCAGAGTAACATCTCAGCCACTATACCACTGTTATGGCAAAAGTGTAGAAGCCTACCTTCAGAATTATGACTGACTGAATTGGATCTAACCACCCCCCTGAGCACCCCCCTCCCCAAAATACTGTACATATTTTTGTCTAGCAATCCATAGGGTAAAATCAGATCGATGGTCTGCAACACTATTCTTTACCTTCTTGTGTGATGCAGATAGACCCGCTGCCCATGCCAACTCTGAGAGCATCAGCCCCAGCGTCAATCAAGTTCTTTGCCTGGGCTGCTGTCACCACTGAGAAAAGGGAGAGAAAATGCATGAGAAAATTGGCCTCCAGTCACATAGCAGCTACCATCACTCTACCCCAAGTCTGCAAGAAATGGCTCCTCCTTTCAAACAAACAGGCCCAAATGCACAAGCCCATTTTTCAGATTACAGAGGAAGCCATCACACCATCAACTGGAAATGTAGGGTCAAATTCCAGTTCTTGCTGGATTGTGCTGGATGAATCAGTTCTAACCACTGAAAATCGGGATGATTATCATTAGGATAGAGAACTATTCTCTTCAACCAAGGTATCTTCACTAATAGATTAAAGAGGAACTATTTGATCTCTATTAGAGCACCCTTCGAGTGTTGTAATACTGCTAGCTTCCATTTTCATTTGTCACATTTTAGTAATTTTAGGATAATAATGATAATAAAGATATCAATGCAAATGGTAAGGTGGCCTCCCCATCCATAGCACATTTATGGACTCAGTTTAATCAGCAAAATGTTCATCAAAAACATACAAACCAAATTTTAACAGTTACCATTGCCTCCAATGACTTGCAGATGAGAATATTTCTCCTTGATGTATTTGATCATATTGATTTGAAAAATGGAATTCCCCTGAGATGAATCCTGAGATTAAAAAAAAAAAACCAGAAACACAAGAATGAATCCTGTATTGTTCCTTTAAAAAATTAAATTTATTTAAGGAGGAGTCCAACATTCTGTACAAACACTTGCCACGTTCTTCTTTCTAGCTACTAGTTAATGTGAATTTAAACTGAAGCAACTCTGCATAAGATCTCATTGAATCGATCAGCAACTTTCAATAATGCAACTCCTAATCCTTCAGAAGACCTAAAACAATTACAGTAATTTCACCTAATCACCAAAGTGCATCTAACATAAAGTTCAACTATATCTCCTTTGCTACTCTTTACTGGACTCCCACTATTTCTAATACTCACCAATACAACGACATCCACTCCAGCTTGCGCCAGCAGATCAAGACGATACCTATCATCTTCATGGGTCCCAATTGCTGCCCCACAGAGCAACTGTTTCTTGGTATCTTTTGAAGCCAGGGGATAGTCCCGATTCTTTTTCAGGTCTGTGCGGGCAATTATGGCCACCAACTCCCCCTTTTCATTAACGATTGGCAATTTTCCTTGAAGTTGAAAAAAATCTGCTGTTATTTCTGAGTCATAATTTTGACTTTTTGTCCCTATTTTTGGTAACATGGCAACTAAAGTAACACAGCCAAATAGCTTAATCAAGTAGAATTGATTCAAAAACATCTGATTCCTAATTCAGCTAACACTACAGGTGATTAATTAACCAAGGAAAAGAGAAAATAGGATATCTATTGGGAGCCCAAGTTAAGAATGATATTTCTTTTTCTTTATAATACTATTCATAGATACAGTCCAACAACACTATTTATTCAATATGCTTTTCCTTTATTTTGATCTGTATGAACCCAACTGTTACGGTTTAAAGACAGTGGCTTACTGTGAAAACAACCCATGATGGCTTATTCAAACCTGGGTCAGCCAAGTGTATGAACCTACTAATAGTGAGTTTATGGGCTAAACTAGTTGAGCACAGAAGCTAGATTTTTTTCCTAAAGGGATAATGGGATTATTTATCTATTACAGCTATTTGTATGCTACCAGACTCTATGTATTTGAATGTCTGAATTGCCTCACTTTAAACAACATGGCCCTGGACAACAACCTAGAGCTACACTAAAAAATGCTGATAAGGCACAATATAGCATATTTACTTAAGAAGTTAGCAGGATTCATGCCGAACCATGATTCTTAGGGTTACATCACAGTAACAAATCAAGCCATAAAATTAAGTGCAGGATGAAAAGTGCAATAATGTAATACCCAACACATAAACTATCTTATAGCAATTCCCACAAACCTTTTTTACTCCTCTGCAAGATTTCATTCGCTTCTTTTAATGTAACTTCTGCACTTGCTACAACAAGATCTTCCCGTTTGGTCATGATCTATGAAAAATAAAAAGCTGAAGTAAGGCAAATAACCTTTCTATCTTGGCTAAGCAGCACTGTCTAACAGAGAAATAAATGTCAGTCTGGTTCCCTAAGAGCAAGGATGGCTACATTTGACTCTCAAAGCAAACCTCATTTATTATATTTATTATTATGGAAGTGCAAAGAGGTTTCAGTCAGACGTAATACAATTAGCTTAATGTGGAAAAGGGCAATTTACCATAATGGAAGGAAAGCAACGTGGTGCCAGACATAATTATTGTCCCAAAATCAAGAATTACACAATTCAAAGTAATTGTCTCTATCTGGCTTCTCAACTAATGCAACCATCAGTTTTTAAAAATCAGTTTCAGATATAACTTCAGATTTAACAGCTCACAGTTCACACTCCACAGTTTCAAAAGCACAAGTTAAATAATGTGGGATCTCAAAAATAAAAGAAAATCCATTAGTAATATTTTTCATTATTAAAAATATAAGCAACATTAGAAAAAAACTGAAACTAGAGCCATTATTCTGTATTAATTGCTTACAAATCTTATAGCCTGGAACACTACAGAAAAAGTGGTAGGATTTTTTCCCCTTGGAATCTATTTGAGATACCGGGGTGTGTGGGTGTTAAATGGCAAAGGCTTAATCACAAGTGCCTTCAGCTACAAACTGAAGTGGTATAGCCTGGACATGGGCACACATTATTCTCACTTATCTACCTGTACAAGATCAAAGACTGAAGGATTAAAATGTCTGGCCTCACAGGAATAACTCAGGAATTATTTATTTGCTTAACTGTTTTATGATCGCAGGGCAAGTTCAATCATCTGAATGCTATCTGAAGCTGTTTCTGAATAAGCAACTGTAGCCTTTCCTTTTCCTGTTCCCTTCTTATCAGAAATCCTTTAGAAATGTGTTATAAGCAACTCCTGTCTGAACATTAAATCATGCCATTAGCAGGTTTTGTCAGCACAAATCTAAAAATAGCACAAGAAATCAGAGCCAGCTCCAAGACAGATTGGAACGCTGCAATGCTAAAACCCCACGTCCAGTTACAGTGGTTACACTAATGCAAATTTCAGAAGGCTTTCATCAGGCAATGGGAAGAAAGTCAGCTAGCTGAAAAGGAAAATATTAACTTGCAAAACAAATGCTATGCTGCATGCTCTCTGGACAACAGGAGCAGGTCCCAGAATATATTTTAAAAAGGGGGTACTAGGAAAAAAAATACCGCAAAACTATAAATACATATCACTTAATAGTAAACCCTAGGTGCCTTAGCTCAAATACAAGCCTTCCTCAGAAGCAACTATCATAAAACATGGTATTTTATCAATAAAAACATCAGAATAAAGTCATATATTTTATATAGTCAACACTGTTTTTCTTGTCAATACAACAGGATTAAAATCCTTTCTTTTCATTCAGGGAATGCTGCATTGGTTCCTTTTTGTGTATTGCATCTTCTGAAACATTAAGAAAAATTAATCTGGCCCACATTTCAGCATATACAACTGGAAAATTTCAGACCTTCACTAACCTCACTAAGAGGCAGGTCATGCTCTTCCTCTTTCAGGAAATCGATGTCTCGGGATGAGATAATCCCCATGAGACGGCTACCCATCTTCCCATTGTCTGTTATGGGGATGCCACAGAATCCATGACGGGCTTTTGCTTCAAACACATCTCGGACACGATCTTGAGGGCTCAGCACCACTGGATCTGTGATAAATCCTTGTTCGTATTTCTGGAGTAGGACATTAAAAAAAGAGAATGAGAGACAGACGGAGCTATGGAAAGAACGGTCATATCACTCTTAGGAGGCTGATCCCTATTCATCTAAGCCAGATCCTCTGAGATAACGAACAATCATTACTGCAGCATGTAAAGCTATGGCTCTGAAACATGACTGAGGATTCTCCAAAGCACCAAACACAGATGTACTGTATATGTGGGCAGAGATAAGCAGCATGCAAAAAACAGTGCATACATGGAACCCAAAGCTCCTACCCAGATGGCAGGAGGCATCAAAAGCAACTATAGTTACTGTAATGCTAACATAATTAGAACCAGTTAAATATATCCTGCATTAGGGCCCACCAGTTGCTGATCTTAACTCTGATCAGAAGACTCTAATTAGCTTTAATTAGATGCAACTAATAAGTGTCGTAAGACATTACCTATCACAAGACAGAGGGGAATTGGGAAGAAGAGAGGAGGAAGCATGCAATCACTTATCTATTCAACTTGTTATCAGATCTTTCATTCCAGCAGCAATAGCTTACACAAGCATTCATAGAAACATTGGCTTTACCTTAACTTTCCGTACTTCGTTGGCCTGGAATTCTGGGGTACAGTTATGATGGATGAATCCGATCCCCCCCGTGAGCTGAGCAAATACAGAAGGAAACACGTGTTGAAACTAGAGTAAGGTCCTTCATTGCCATCTGCCAAGAGGTAACAAGTTCAGCAGAAATACTTCACAGACTGATGCAATTATTTAAGGAGAAGATTCCATCTTGGAAAGAGATAGTGTTAAGGACTGATATGACAGAAGTACATACTCTGAAGAATGTGTGTAAAACTCAGCTTTTAGTTAAAATTTTCCCAATAGGAATCTTTCATTCCTGGCAGTTTATGGAATTAACTATTACTTATATTCTACAATGTATTATTTTCATTCTATAATAAAACAATTAATTTGGGAATGGATGGATGGATAAAAACAGGAGGGAAGAAATGTTCATGTCTGTAGCATTAACCAAATCCTATATCATTTTTTTTTTTAAAGAGGGCATCTAATTTGTACTAAATACTCTAGAGATGCTTCCCTTTTTTCTTGGGACTTTTGTACCTTGAATAATAAACTGCCCTTCAATACTTTCCCAGAAAACCAGGAAACAGTGAAAAAAAAAAGTGGCAGTGAAACCTGGACAACTGGGTGGCAGCAAAGGAGCATGTAATACCTGGAAACACCTTGAATGACAGAAAGTGACAGCCTCACTCTGCCACTAAGATTTACATGGCAGTGACTCTAAGGTTTTCTTTGCTAATGTGATTAACAGCACCATCTCTTGTATCTTTCATCAAAAACAAATTCTACTGTGTTTCACAAATCCTAAGGAACAGCATTTAGGACTATCACCCAAATGACGAAAATGAAAACGCTCTCAGCAGTCACCTACTATGATACCAGTCTGCCTTTCCCAAATATAAACAACCCCACTTCAGACTATGTCAATCCTTCCCTCTCTCCAGCTCTGTTTACTTACTGCCATTGCAATGGCCATGCTGGCCTCTGTTACAGTGTCCATTGGGGAAGATACCAACGGTGTTTTCAAGCTTATCTTCTTGGTTAGAGCAGAAGTCAAGTCCTTAAAATAAACAGAATTATTCAATAACAAAATGTTACATGATTTCAGGATATTCCATTCCAAGATTCCTAGTTAGCTAACAAGGGTAGTAGACATTTTTTTTAATCTTTAGGAATGTAAAAAGAAATTTTTAAAAACTTCTTTGGTTACAAGACCCTAAATTAGAATTATTAAGGAAGAAAGCAGATGATTCAAAACATTCCTTTAATATGCTGTACAAACTTCAACCCCATACTCACCACTTGGTCTGCAGTAAAATCTATGTAGCCAGGGAGTATAAGGAAGTCACTGAGTAAGGAAGAGAGAAAAATGTTATTGAGCTTGTTAACTTATCAATCCTGTTCGTGTTAACATGTAATTATAGCTTCTATGTTGTGGATCCTTGTAACACTTATGAGAAATCATTTGCTATTATTCCTATCCCAGAAATTCTGATGCTAAGGGCCAAACTGAAAATACTGCAACTGGTAAGGTTATTGCTTAACAAGAACAATCTAAGCTCTTTAATAATTACAGAACTTAATCCCATCCCCTGGAAAATTAATATTTGCTGATGACTTGTGTAGCTTATTTTCCTTTTCAATCCCAAGTTTTTTGCTGATTTTCAGAGTCATGAATTTTAGTCACAGAACTTCAACATAATATGTACCTTGGTCCTGAGAACTGTGTGTGTGTTCATGCAAGGCCAAAACTGCCAGATCCAAAACATGTGAATAGTCAAACTAGCAGGCTTCCTCAAATCTCATGCACACCACCTTCAATTTAATTATGCATCCATAACACTCAATGCTCCTAACACTGCTATCAAAAGAGAGGAGGTAGAATGCAAGAACAAAAAAGTTGAACAATTTTTAAGGATTAAAAATAATTATATCAGTGAAAGCAAATATTTATCCTTAACATTACATAAGCCATGGATTCAAAGGAGATCAGGAGCAATATATTGTCCAAGAAAATCTCTCTGAGATTCAGATATAGGATTTGTTTTTTAGAACTTATTTTCAACACTAGAGTTCAGCCCACAGAATTGTTACATAACTAAGACCTCTTAAAAAATACACATTCCTAATTAATAGAGATTTAGGATGGTTTCAAGCCTACTAAGACACAATAGTCTACTTTCACTAACTCCCACTCCCATTTTGAGGAGTATACATTTATTTTTGTTATTGTCTTTTCAAAGGAGAGAGTCTGTAATTATAAGTAGAACATATACAGGGATGTCAGTCCTTGGTTTCTTGAGGAGCAGTGGTGACCAAGATTTTATCTTAAGACCCTGGAAAACTACTCCAATTAGAGTGAAAGCACTGAACTAGATACACCAGTTGTGACAGTAAATAAGTTTTCATATGTTCAAGATTTCCCAGTTATAGGGAAACACTTTCAGGTAGGTATGGATTTCATGCAATTAGATTTTGTAAATACCCTATGATATGTTTGCTTTTTTTTTTTTCCTGGAATACCACTAAGGAAGGACAAGTTCCCTAGTAAAATGTTCAGGAGGAAATGTTAGCTGATATTTAACCAAAACTGTGACCCAAACTTGAAAATCTTCCAGGAGTCCTAAAAAGACCTTCTATTGCACTTCTTTCTCAATATTATGCTAAAAGAGAATTTCCATACAGAGGTAGTAATATCCAGGGTTGTGCTGAAAACACACAATGACTACTGAGAGATTTAACCTCTATACATTTTTGTAATCCCAGTCTACCTTCTATACTATCAACATTTACAAATACCAGTTTTCTAAATGTTGCCATTTTTACATATAACATTCGTATCAATTTCTGAGTCTGACCTGATCCTGTCTTAACCATCTCTGTACTGTACAACTTTGTGATAACTCTGACACTAAAATCTGCAATATTCAGAAATTCAGTTTCTGCATTACAATGCAAGAAAAGACAAGGATATAGAAGCTTGATGGGAAAAATCTCTTGCTAATTGGATTTTATTGCATTTATTAGTAGATAGCAGCTGACACCTATTGTTTGTAAAGAACTTGGTTTTTCAACTATAAAGTTTATTGCACACCAATATGGTTTATTTATAGACAGCAATTCTCTAAGGTAGGCTGGGACAGGAGCACTGCTGGTAAGAAAAGTCAGTCAACTTACAGTGTAAGAATTATTTTCAGAGCGCTTTCTCAAATGACTTCCTAGTCAGAGAGAAACTTATGAAGTATGTGCGTAAACATGCCCTACCCCCAAAACAACTGGGATCACATGAAACCATTTGCTAACGAAGGGGTGGGGGTAGAAGAAGAGAGTGAATTGAAAAAAGAGATCTAGCAGCTGGTGCTTCTGCCATATAAGTAATATACACTCCTTGTTCTTTCTGTTTTAGGAGAGAAATCACAAACTTTCTCTTAGCCATGCTTTATAGTGTGAATTTCTTTAATCATGGTTTTAGCTATTCTCATGAATTTTAACAACTGATTATCATTTTTTTACTGTTAACTTCCCTGAATGCAGAAAGGTAAGACATAAACTACATGAATAATCTTCTCTATTAGAGCTCTATTTATTTATCACTAGCACAAGATGCTCAGAACATGGGTTGGAGTACATTCTCTATCCCTTGCAGTGTAACATTCACGCAGTTACAGCGGGCCTCCCACGAGTGAGGGGAAAGAAGACACCAAACTGATTCTCCTGCGAGGGGGGTGAGAGCGCCCAGACCGG